TCCAGAAATGTCTGCAATCGAGTAAATAGCTCTACGAACTAATGGATCAGATCGAATTGCAAACTGAAAAGATTTGTACTTTTCGTCACCACTTTGTGGAAAATCGTTAGATATGAATATGTTAGATGCCTGCGACTCGATTGGTGAAGGTGAAATAGTATACTCCAACATGGTTGCAACTGGACAAGGGTTCCTGCCATTGAGCTAGCCATTTAGTTCATAACTTGCAAGCAATTAAGTAAACTGAGCCCTCCATGACATATAGTTAGTGGACATTAGCTTTACAGGGAATGCGGCTTAATTGAAGGACAAGGGGTTTTTGGTGAGGCCAGGATTGATGATAGTTGCAGCAAAGTTTGGGGAGGTTTTGGCTACAGCAGAGTTGGGTAGCCATGATCAAGACTTGCGAAAGCATAGAGTGCTCTGATACCACTAATAGGCTAAAGACTGAAGGAGGCAAACTGCTGTATTTTATTGTTGTCTTGTAAACAATATATATACAGAAGCACTAACATAGAATCCTAACTGATACGGAAATAATATATATGATACGATATAGTAAACACATAAATTACAAATTGACTAAATCCTAGAATCATGGTGTCATTGAGTGTATATCATGTAGGATAATCTTGAGATACACTCGCCTTAACGAATTTCTCCTTCGCAAAGCCAAAGACCTTATCTCGAACATTTGCTTGAATCTTATCCACAATTGCAGACTCACCATGAAAAGTTGCTTGTAGATTATGGCATTTCTTTCTATCCATATGTGGTAGATTGTTGCACACCAAGCTAGTTATATCAAACTGCTATACATTGCCTTATGCTTGATCTTTTGAGATAACCAAGTCAAAAGAGGCTGCCAAGAAGGAGTAGAAGAGACCTCCAACATAAAGGAAATTGTGTCCTAAATGTACTTAGAATAGGAACATGAGAAGAACAAATGATCTCTTTATTAGATTTTTGAGGTAAGGAGAAGGGGTTGAGAGAGGACTTGGAGGAGAGTAGGGGAAGAGTAGAACTTAGAACATGATATAGAGAGTAGAACTTAGAACATGATATAGAACATACACTAGGAAGGGTGCAAACATTCACTCAACTGCGATGAGAGGAGAAATTGTTCTCCAACTCTCTCATGTTTCCAGTAACATGTCTGCCCATTTATAGCAGAACATAAAAACAATATTTTTCACCTACTTTCCATGATTTATGGTTCCATGTTTTCTGCACAATCTATCCTAACATTTAATTAAAGATTGTAATATATAAACTAACATAAAAGGTACATTGAAACACTATCACATTGCTGCACTTCTGTTGACTAATTTGCAGTCTTCATTTGCATTTTGCATTTCATTTTCTTCCATAATGCAACAGTTTACTACATCTTTCTTTCCTCCATTGAAGCAGCTTTATTGCTGCACATTTTCTCCCATAAATGCAACTTCTTGTTGCACTATTTTGCTGTTTTGTGGTAGCAACATCACAGCTTTGATGCTGCTGCTCCATCGCTTGTCTCACTTGTAGTGTTGTATAGCACACAAGTATCGTCAATATGAGGTGACCATGACTTCTGCTGTGCTTTAGTTGAAAGCCTGTCGAGTGTAGCAAGCCAAGACATGAAACCATGTCGTGGTATAGAATTTGAAAACCAAACCAGTCTTCACCAGTGTACCTTAGTGTGCTTCCCCCTCAAATGATTCCAGGTGCTCCCTGTTTTAAATGTCCGCGATGAAGATGCCAACCATACGACAGAGTCTTCCGTGGTCTGATCAGGGTACAAAGTGCTGCATAAAGCTATCTGGATTTGCAACAGCTCAAAGGATCGAGCAGGAGGCCATTTCCAAAAATTTCCTTCGATCACTCGAGATAGTTTTGCTTGTAGTGGGATTGCGGCATCCTGCACAATTTTATGACCATACACTTGAATGAGTGGTCCCTTTGGGTGCCACTAATTAAACCAGAGAAAAACATTTTCCCCAGTCCCAACCAAATATGTTTAATCAAGAATCTAGCCGTTGGCCTCAAACTTAAAATTTTCCTCCTGCTCCACGAGGCATATCTCCAGGGGTTCTTAATGACCAAAAGCTTTTGCCTCGAATCAAAAATATATATGCATGTATCCAAGCAATCCATATCGAACCAGCCCTTGAGAACGGTAACCAGATAAATCTCAAAATGCAGGTCTTATTCCACCCATGCAATGGCTTAATGCCTAATCCACCTTCCACTTTGGGTTGACAAACTGCTGTCCAATTAACTTTTGCTCCCCTAACATGGTGGCCTTTCCTTTCTACAAGAAATCACTGCAAATGGCTTTCACTGGATTTACAACTCTTTTAGGCAAAATAAAAAGGGAGCACCAAAAATTTGTTATGCCTTGGAGTACTGAATTGATAAATTGCAACCTCCTCCTCCTGCAAAGGATAAATGTCTCGAAGTCCAAGAGCTAATTCTGTCAGTAATTTTTGATTCGTGGGGCTCTAATGCTGCATCTGTTAACTTGCCAGTTATTAGTGGCATCCCAAGGTACCTAACAGAACTATTTCTACGCTCTAGACACAACAAATGATTAACTTGAATTCCAGAAAATCCGCTAAATAACTTCGATCAAATCACTAGCAATGAATTCGGTTTAAAACCGCAGCTTCGTTTTTATGTTTTATAGCAGTATTTTTTATTTCTTTTATTTTGGGCAACCAATACCGTACAAAAAGTAATAAGAAAATGTTTTTCAAGTCATTCATATTTTAATAATATTTTTAAAATCAATTTTTGAATTAAAAA